TCCTCCCCACCATTACCCCCCCAACCCCTGTCCCCTCGTCCTCCCCACCATCCCCCTACTCCCATCCCCTCGTCTTCCCCACCATTTTCCACTCTCTTGTCCAATGCATTCCCAAATGATCCGATTTTCCATAAGAAAATTGGGACAATCAAATGATCTAATGTTCCCATCACTGTTATATAAGAAAAACCTTTAAAAAACGAAATGAAAAAAAATAAAAAATAACTATACTCAGAAAATGAACCGTAGGGTAAAGAACACAGCTGAATTTCACCGCAATGTCACACAGAATAATTAAATCAAAATGAAAATATATCAAAATCTATGTAAAATCAATTTGTCAATACAATTAAAAACCTTGAAATGGAATCGCAACATATTTAGCATAGCGTGTGTTGCTAATTCGTGCAACTGATGGCGCTGTTTTTCAAAAGACGCATGCTTTTGCCTGTCACAAGTGTGGCATTTATATAATAGGTATATAAAAACACGTGCGAGTTGGAATGGAACGTTGCACCAAAATTTCAAAGCAATCAGCGAAGAACTTTTGGAGATTACAGCGTGTGTTGCTGTTATGTCTAAAAGGTGGCTCTGTTTCTCAAAAAAACATGTTTTTTCCTGTTACAAGTGAAGCATGTTTACAGTAGGTATATAAAAACATGCGCCTATTCATATGCAACGTTGTGTCAAAATTTCAAAGCAATCGATAAAGATACTTTGAAGATTTCCCTCACATAAAAAACACATGAAAAATACCGTTTAAAAAAAAAATGTTTTTTTCCCCCGTCACAGACATGACATCTATATAATATACATATAAAAACCCGCGCGGATGCGAATGGAACGTTGTGTGAAAATTTCAAAGAAATCGGTGAAGAACTTTCAAAGATTAGCGATTTTGAACAAACGAACATTTATATTTTTATTAATATAGACTAGCCGTACCCAGCCACGCGTTGCTGTGGCTGAGCACCGCATGTGCATTGCTGAGCCACGGCAACCTTCCCTATCTCCCAGTCCTCCCCACCTTTCCCCCCCTGCCCCATCCCTTTGTCTTCCCCCATTATTTATCTTCCCCATCCCCCCTCGTCCTCCCCAACATTCTCCCCTCTTCCAGCCCTTTATCCTCTCCACCATTTCCCACTCCAGCGTCCTCTCGTCCTCCTAACTATTCCCCACTCCACAATCACCATCCCCTCGTCCTCCCCACCATCTCCCACTCCTCCATCCCCTCGTTCTCCCTCCTATTCATCCCTCCCCTGTCCCCTCGTCCTCCCCACCATTCTCAATTCCCTGTTTTTCGTCCCCATTATCCCCTTCTCCCCTCGTCCTCCCACCCATTACCCCCCTTCCCTGTCCCCTCCTCCTCCCCACCATTCACCACTCCCGTCCCCTCGTCCTCCCCACCATTCCCCACTCCCTCATCTGATGCATTCCCAAATGATCTGATGTTCCCATCAGAAAATTGGGAACATCAAATGATCTCATGTTCCTATCACTAAAATATAAGAAAAACAGTTAATAAAACTAAATGAAAAAAAAATGAAAAAATAAACACAAACTATACTTACGAAATGAACGGTATGGTAAACAACACAACTCAATTAGAATGCAATGGCACACAAAAAAATAAATAAAAATGAAAATAAATTTAAATTGATGAAAATTCAAGTTATCAATGAAATCGGAAACATTGAAATGGAATCGTAACACATTTAGTATAACGTGTGTTGCTCTTACGTGCAACAGATGGCGCTGTTTTAAACAAAACGTGTTTTTATCTGTCACCGGTGTGGCATCTATACTTATACTTACGAAATGAACAGTATGGTAAACAACACAGCTCAATTCTAACGCAATGTCACAGAAAATAATTAAATCAAAACGAAAATAAATCGAAATCTATGAAAATTCAATTTATCAATGCAATCAGAAACATTGAAATAGGATCGTAACATATTTAGTATTGTGTATTTTCCTATTACGTGCAATAGATGGCGCTGTTTTTAAGAATAAGCATTTTTTTCTGTCACAGGGTGAGGCATGTATATAGTAGGTATATAAGAACACGTGCCTATTTGAATGCAACGTTGTGTCAAAATTTCAAAGCAATCTGTTAAAAAGTTTGGAACATTTCCCCTCACATGAAAAACACACGAAAAACACAGTTTTCAAAAATATTTTTTTTTCTCGTCACAGACGTGACATCTATATAGTATGTATATAAAAAACCCGCTCGGATGCGAATGGAACGTTGTGTGAACAGTTCTAACCAATCGGTAAAGAACATTTGGAGATTAGTAATTTTGAGCAAACAAACATTTACATTTATATTTATATAGATGTATTATGAATGTATGTTCGATTAGCATTTTGAAATTACCACAATCATTTTCTGTGGTTGATTGCTCAATAAATCACTGAACTATATGTTAGAACCTATCTCTAACCCTGTCCATGGAGGTTACCTTGCAATGACGATTGCCGTCACCGCGGCCCGGTCCCCGACCAGGCCTCCTAGTTGCTGGTCTGATCAACCAGGCTGTTGAACATCTTCTTATGAAGAACATAAGAAATTTTATATGTGCTGGTTAGCATTGTAAATTTGTGGCCAGCGTCTGAGGTTAAATAATAACAAATTACACACATGCGCACAAACTGTCTTGGTTCCATATGATTGAGTTCAAAGCCTTATCCTCGTGGACACAGAATATGTGTAAAATTTTCACTGTTGTATGTACAGTTATAAATCACAAGGCCTATCATGGTCGTAGTGACTTGGGAACAATCATTCACTTAAAATGAATTGCATTATAGATATCGAAATGTTATGACACTTGACTCACGTTGACAGCTACACGATAACAGTTATCAGTTATCTTTTCTTAAATAATTTGCTATAAGCCTAATTAATTCTTTATTCATTTTATTAATACCTCAATAATAGTGCTTAGTAGAAAGAGATAACTGATGTATATGGAAACTAGAAAGTATATGTGTGGTATGGTAAGGAAACATTTCATTGATTCAAATTGTAAATTGTAGAAAAGTTTTTTTGTTTTTTTGAGATATATACAAGAGTTGTTACATTCTTGTACAGCCACTAGTACACGTAGCGTTTCGGGCAGGTCCCTGGAATACGATCCCCCCGCGAAGAATCGTTGTTACAACCAAGTACACACGTTACTGTTGAGTTAAACAGAGGCTACAGTTAAGGATTTGCGCCCAGTAAATCCTCCCCGGCCAGGATACGAACCCATGACAAAGCGTTTGCGGAACGCCAGGCGAGCGTCTTACCACTACACCACGGAGACTGTAAAGAAGACTGTAAAGACTGTTCAGAAAAATATTAGGCTAAATTATTATCCTGTAAATCGTTTATTAAAAATTGTGTCAAACTAATGCAGTGTTCATATTATTTTATTTACCAATTGAAATTCACAAACGGAACTATAATATTAATGCACTAGACCTGAGTTAACTTTACAAAAGAGATAACAGAGTATGTAATAATCAGAAGAGTCGTCCGGTAGCACAGTTTCCCATCCTACAAGTAACTGCTCTCACTCTTCCAGAATGGTTGAGAAGTATCAGTTATGTTATTCTCCTCTCCAGTTTCTTATCAAGAATATGCTTGACACAGCTTGGATATCTTAAAAATAGCTTGCACCTAGTACTGTCTTATCCATCGGACAAGGTGTCCCTATTGTTGAGTGTTAGAGGAGAAGGAAAGTGCTCCGTTTGACAGAATCCGCACTCTAGACACGTTGATGGGGCAATAATCGACTTTCACACTTGCCGAATGGGGTCACCTACTTCTGATACTAAAATCAGATAAGCGTATCTTAGTTAAGTTCTATGGGTCGCTGATACCTGTGGCTCTTTGACATACAACATTAATTTTATGTGTTTCCAGTTATAACGTATGCATAGATCAAATTATCCAGTGTGTCATCTTCTGAATCCTGAACTGTTATCAGCGAGAGTACAGTAAAATACTGCTGTGACTGTCAATAATATAACAACGAATCAATGAGCATAGTGATATGCTGTTGCATTAATTGTGGGTTTGGTTAGAGTTCATAATTTAGAGAAGTGAAACGTTCTGTCGTATCTTCACAAGACATTCAGCCTTGATTAATATCTTCACAAGACATTCAGCCTTGATTAACATCTTCACTAGACATTCAGCCTTAATTAACATCTTCACAAGACATTCAGCCTTGATTAATATCTTCACAAGACATTCAGCCTTGATGAATATCTTCACAAGACATTCAGCCTTAATCTTCACAAGACATTCAGCCTTGATGAATATCTTCACTAGACATTCAGCCTTGATTAACATCTTCACTAGACATTCAGCCTTAATTAACATCTTCACAAGACATTCAGCCTTGATGAATATCTTCACTAGACATTCAGCCTTGATGAATATCTTCACTAGACATTCAGACTTGATGAATATCTTCACAAGACATTCAGCCTTGATGAATATCTTCACAAGACATTCAGCCTTGATGAATATCTTCACAAGACATTCAGCCTTGATTAATATCTTCACAAGACATTCAGCCTTGATTAATATCTTCACAAGACATTCAGCCTTGATTAATATCTTCACAAGACATTCAGATTTGATTAATATCTTCACAGGACATTCAGACTTGATTAATATCTTCACAAGACATTCAGCCTTGGTGAATATCTTCACAAGACATTCAGATTTGATTAATATCTTCACAGGACATTCAGCCTTGATTATTATCTTCACAAGACATTCAGCCTTGGTGAATATGAGCCAATTCCCCAAATATCGATAAATATAACTAACGGCACTAAGTAAATAATACTTGAATAAAACGTTATAAGGAAAACAGTTAGTTTAAAATAACATAATACTGTTTTTACAATTACAAATCATTATTAAATGCCAAACATCTTGGAAAATAAAAACATTTTCAAAATATGGTTTATTCTATGAAGAGAAAACAACTTACTTGAAGTGATGGCGCACTAAACTCTTCCATGCTGAGACCGTCTTCTGCCAGCGGAAACTCGAAAGGCCACGGTATTGCCTCAATAACTTTATCCTTGCTGTTAAAATAAGGGAAAATGTACCAAATTAATCAATAAAGCATTTAACTGAAACGAAATATGACACATAATAAAGACAGGTAGATAAAAAATTTTAAGCCAGCAAAAATACACTCATAATATTGAACAAGTAATTTATAAGCATATTCATCGACCAGCCCCTTCTCCTGTTGAAACAAAAGTTCCCACGTTGCTACAAGCATTACAATACTGTTATTATGCCATAACAGGCGTTCTGCCCATTCACCTGGACTGAATGGGTCTCGAACCCTGGACCCCACTCTTGTGAGGCCGTAGCTCTATCAACTCTTCTATGAACAATCTTAGATGAATGTTTCCAGAAGCAGCATCCTGCTGCCAGACTGGAATTTTGGCAGCAGGATGATGCTTCTGGAAACATTCCTTTTAAGACTGCTCACAGTAGAGTTGATAGAGCTACGGCCTCTCACGCATGGGGTCCATGGTTCGAGACCCATACAGTTAAGGTGAATGGAATGTTTATTTCCAGGGAAATGTGAAGCGCAGTTTACAAGCGTTCGTACTATGTAGAAAGCTCTCTTCAGTTTGCAAGAAAAGTTCCCATGCTGTTAAAAGCCTTCAGTTGCTGAAAGAAGTCTTTTCACATTTATAAAGCTCTTCTACACTATACCAAGCTTTCCCACGTTCTAGGAAGCTATCCCAATGTTGGAACGTGCATTCATAAGGCTGTAAGAAACCTTACTGGATGTAACGAGGGTTACCATGCTATGAGAAGGGTTCTCGGGTTGTACTAGGTACTACCACGCTATAAGAAGTGTTCTCGGGTTGTAATAAGTATTGTCATGCTATAAGAAGCGTTCTCGGTGTAAAGGAATGGAATTCCAGCTAGCTTACACATGGTTGATAGAAGAAGGCACACCGCATTTTGCTTTCAGCAGGTGCTATTACGATGTTGTCGTTGTCGGTTGCCCATCCTTTATGGACAAACCAACCCAAAATCCGTAGAGTGCCTATACTCAGATCAGGAGATCACCCTGTACACTTCCTACTCTCGGAGAGGGGCTCAGCGTCACACATTCAGGGGGGTGCGGCTCCAACACTGGCCTGGTTTTTCACGTGAACACACCCAACTCAAGCTGCTGTGACTACCCACTCTCTCCTTATATGGTATGGCCTCCTTAATCCCCCATTCGTTTGAATTATAACTCTGTACCACCCTATCCACAGCTATGGTGCTTTCTCTCTCTCTCTTCTACTTCCTGGGAAGCCTCACTAGGACAAGGGCAAACACCTGTTCATTACAAATATATAATAACAGAACAGAACATATATAAAGCACTCACATACAATATATAAGGAAATAAACTTCAACACCTTATGATATTATAACCTGGTTGCAAACCAATACCATCAGGACTCCATCAGCTGTTTATACCAAGTGGTTGCCCAACTCCTGGCTTGCCACTTGTGCTACCAACCTCACCGAGGGGGTTAAACCTTGTACAGCAAATATGGCATCATCATCCACTCCCTCAGCCGTCCGGCCGAGCGGACAGCACGCTGGACTTATGATCCTGTGGTCCCGGGTTCAATCCCGGGTGCCGGCAAGAAACAATGGGCAGAGTTTCTTTCATTCTATGCCCCTGTTACCTAGCAGCAAAATAGGTACCTGGGTGTTAGTCAGCTGTCACGGGCTGCTTCCTGGGGGTGGAGGCCTGGTCGAGGACCGGACCGCGGGGACACTAAAGCCCCGAAATCATCTCAAGATAACCACCTTTCACTGCGTCTTGCACGCTAATGACAATCAAGCACTCTACCTACTCCCTACAAGTAGACAATAAGAACTTCCTTCCCACATCTGTGAGTTCACTACCCTGACATCATCAGGTTCTTCCAGGTTTATCTACCAGGATCTTCTACAGCTCTTCCAAGCTGCTGTACCATGAAGTTTCCCCTTGGACTCCGGTGGTACTCCACCACTGATTCCACAGAAGCATGTGAAACTTCACATCACTGCTCCTCTTCACACAGTTTGAGGTCCAGTTCCTCACTATGGGGCTTGCTCTTCCACAGAGTACAACGTCCACTCCTACGGCCTTGAAGTTCCACTCATTAACTTCTTCTCTGGCCTCAGAGTACTCCCATCAGCTCCTTCCTTAAACAAACCTACAACCCATTGATACGCTAATAAAAATGTTCCTCTACAAACATATAACTGAAATGAACTACACACACAACAAATATTTCACCCGACATCTACCTGCTTCCCACATACTGTGAGGTGACTTCCCCACATTTGGACGGGTCCATCCTCCGCCCTGCCGGCTGCGGGGCTCCTCAATTTCGAGTCATCTGGCGGCCCAGCCCTCAGTTGCCTCCCTAAGCTCAGCGGGATAGGATGTGCTGCTCCTTCCTCAACTGGTTCCCTCATCTTAATTTTATTATTTAGGCTTTCTGGCTTATCAAAACATGCCTAACATCTCAATAAACACTTGCTACGGCCGCTGGGCACACGACCAACTACAAGCAATCACTGTTAACTGGTAAAAAGGACTCACCCAGAAATTGTTTCCTGCGCTCACACGGTTGCCCACGAAAATGTTTTCAGGACGGCTACCAATTACCGTTGGAGTGCCACAGGGCAGCATCTTAGGACCTTTTCTATTTCTTATATATATCAATGATCTGCCTAATGACTCTAATATTCCTAAACCTATATTGTTTGCTGACGATACTACCCTTATCTATTCAGACCCCAACCCACATACACTAAATAATGTAGTGAATAATGAATTAAAAAAAGTCCACTTATGGATGTCAACTAACAAACTAACACTAAACATAGAAAAGACCTACTACATCTTACTTGGAAGCAAATCATCGAATGCAATTCAGCTACAGATAGACAACATTAACATCAGTAATAAAAATAATGGAAAGTTTCTTGGCCTATTCCTAGACAAGAGACTCAACTTCAGCACCCACATTCAACACATAACTAAGAAAGTCTCTAAGACAGTTGGTATACTCTCCAAAATAAGATATTATGTTCCTAACTCTGCTCTCCTCTCACTATATTATGCACTAATCTTTCCCTATCTTAATTATGGTATCTGTGCATGGGGGTCTACCACTTCAAACCACCTTAAGCCCATCATCACCCAGCAAAAATCAGCTATCAGAATAATAACAAACTCTGCTTTCAGACAACACTCAGCTCCGTTGTTTAAATCCCTTAACTTGCTAAATATTAACTCCCTCCACACATTCTCTTGTGTCAACTACATTTACAAAACCCTGTTCTTAAATGCAAACCATGCTCTGAAACTCTCCCTGGACAGATGTAATAGGACCCATTATCACCACACCAGAAATAAATATCTCTTTGATATCCCCAGGGTCAAACTTAATCTGTGTAAACACTCTATGCAAATTAAGGAACCTAGTCTATGGAACTCACTCCCTAGTGAATTGAAAAGCTGTCAAACTTTTGCCTCATTTAAAAACAAAAACAAAAAGTACCTAATTTCATCTTCGTAGTTTCCTACACAGAGCTTTAAATTTGCTCTGTATCTAGTGTTACCCAATCTCCCAATCTTAATGTACTTAATCCAAACAACTTTATCATTGTGTTCATTGCTGTCTTCTTTTATGTGCTAGCCATATGCTGTATTGTGCCTGCTAAGTTTTGTTAAACTACCATTCAAGCTGTCATTGCAATCACTCTGAGTTACCTATGTGCTTTAATATACCTACAATTTTTCTCTCATCTTTTATTTTTTTATGCTATGTAACTGTTATCATTTTTATAAATTTTGCAAGTATTTGCCTACTTATAAGTTTCTTAGATTAAGGACCTGCCTGAAACGCTGCGCGTACTAGTGGCTTTACAAGAATGTTATTACTATGCTATGTATCCTCACAATCCCAATGTATCTTCTTGTATATATACAAATAAATAAATAAATAAATAAAAATAAATAAGAAGCATTCTCAGGATGTAATAAGTATTATCACTTTATACGAAGCGTTCTCAGGTGGTAACAAGTGTTCCCACTCTGATAGAAAAGTTCACATATTATAAGACTTCCTACACTGCACAAAGAATTTTCATTCTTATCAAACGTTCCTACATGGTAGCAAGCATTCCAATGCTGTTGAGCGTTCCTACATTGTAATAAGGTTTTTGCATCGTAACAAGCACAGTACTGTGAATTCCCGCGCTGAACAAAGCATTCCCACACTGTATAAAGCATTCTCACACTGTACTAAGCATTTCCAAAGTGTACAAATCATTCTCACACTTTACTAAGCATTCCCACACTGTACTAAGGATTCCCACACTGCATTAAGCATCCTCACACTGTTTTAAGCATCCCACATTGTAATAAGTATTCCCCCTGTAATGACTATTCACTACATTGTAATAAGTATTCCCCATAATAAAATATGCAATTCCTACACTGTACTAAGCATGCCCACACTGTATTAAACTTGCTCATACTGCACTAAGCATTCTCACACTGTACGAAGCATTCCTACACTGTACTGATCATTTCCTCACTGTACTAAGCATTCCCACACTGTTTTAAACATTCCAATACTGTACTGAGCATTGCCACACTGGAATAAACATACCCACACTGTAACGACCGTTCCCTCACTGTAACGACCGTTCCCTCACTGTAATCGGCATTCCCACACAATAATAAGCGTTCCAACACTGCATTAAGCATTCCCATACTTTACTAAGCATATCCACAGACTAATAAACATTCCCACACCGTATTAGGCATTCAAACCCGGTAATAAACATTCCATCACTTTAACGAGCATTTCCAAACTCAATTAAGCATTTTCATACTGTAGTAAGCATTTCCATTCTGTACTAACCATTCCCACTGTGTACTAAGCATTCCCAGATTGTACTATGCATCCTTACAATGTAGAAAGCATTCCCACTGTACTAAATATTCCCACAATGTACTAAACATTCCAACACTGTACTAAGCATTCCCACA